ACCAAACGTAACCGTCGCCGGCTCACCTTCTCGGGTCCTCGGTACTGTAGGCACGCCGGGCCGAGGAGGTGGCGATTGCCCAGCAAACGCAACAGAGCAGCGAAGTTCAGCGAGCAGGAGACAGAAAACTGACAGTCTGCATGTGCTCCGCAAGACAGCGCTTCACTGCCGCTGTAACTTAAGGAAAGGGGAGGAGACTAATAGCCCAGCTCCGACAAAAATACAACCACATCAGAAGAGAGGGGAAAGCGGAGCTTCTGGAATATTGATTAGTCTTGGCACGCTCAAAACGGGGTCGCTGCCTTTGTTTTTCCTTTTAGACCACTTTCACGCTTTGTCAGTTCAGCCTCATTAGAAATGCAAAATCAGACCCCAGGAAGAGTTGCAGGATCACACACACACACACACACAGCAGAGGAGGCTGGAGCTCCTCTTGATTAGAGCGATACTGGGAAGCTGAAAAGCCTAAACCTAATTATATAACGCTATTCCTGTGCTTTTTAAAGTAAACGATTAAAGTATGTGAGCGTGTTAGTTTGCTCTACAGAGAGGCATGGTTTAAGGTTATCACATATTTTCTAATTCTAAGAGTCAGTTATTCGTGAAGTCACGCTTTCCAGGGTGGGGAACCAGACGTATCTTTCAGAAGCAACTGGAGCATTATCAAGAATAGAGAAAAAACATGATCAATCAGCTATAATTCTCTGTATGTTTCTTGTAGATATTCAAAATACATGATGAGACTTGCCTGTTGCTTAGCCCTGGATCCTAAGCTCCATTCAGCCTGTTTCAAAAGCGTGGCGTGCATGATAAAGGGGAAAGCATAAAACATCCACTTTTGCGAAATAAGTGGCCTTCAGTTTTTTTAACATTTAAAACTTTGCGCTATTGAAAAGATGTCTGGGGAGGAGAGGCAGTGGGATACACAAAGACCTTCCTTCGCTTTTTAGAGGAACATTTTCATTTTAAATGTTGGTCGAGTCAGTTTAAAATATTCAATAACTGTATTTCAGCATATCTTTCATGAGATTGTAAAGAGTATTTTCTGAGAAGATGGACAAAAAATGTAAATGAAAATTTACATAAATATATGCTAAAGGTATAGTTTAAGCAGCTTATTTATACAGGATGTGACTTTCAGTGTTTTTCCTGTAGAGCCATTATGAATCTGTAGAAATAGTCCTAGGTTATAGGCACATTAAAATTATTAAGAATAGGTAAGGAATAAAATTAAGAGTAGTGTTACTTCCACAAAATCACAGTAGTGGTTTTGCTAAAGTGCTTGCTATTTTAACGGTATTTCAGATAATAATTAATAATGTAGAGAAAAACAACTTATAGTAAAAAGCAACCATACTTGTGATTAACATAGGTTTGCATTAGGGTGGAGAATTGCAGAGTTTTGATGGTAGGTATCTGACTCAAGACAGAAAACAGACATCTGAATTTCCTTATTTGCTTCATTTAAAAAAAAAAAGGCAAGACAAATTGTTGACAGCTTCTATTGCAAAGTCAGAAACCATTTTTCCTCTTTAACACCGCATGCTGCAATTTCTTATACATGGGATGCTTAAATTTCTATCTCACCCTTATTCTTCATGGCACAGTTTTTAACTATTTTCACCATTTTGCCTGGAGATTGGAGCTGACCTCTTAGCAGACCTTTGGCCTTTAGAGAGCTGCTTGTTTGATGTTTCTTTTTGGCGTAGCTTGCTGTGAAACTTCCCAGATGAGGACTTCATTCTGCCCCGAGTTCATATGAATGGTAATGTTCCAGTTGCCTTAACAGGACAGGGGTCAGGTCCCAAACTAAGGTGATCCAACAGTAGGTCATTCTTTAATGCTTTCATTAGTAGTAGACTTTATGAGAGACTCGTAAAATCGTGTGAGAGAGAATTAGCTATTCAGTGAGACAAAACGAAAATGGGCAATGAGCAGTCTTACAGCTTAGCTTAAGTTCAGCAGTGATGCTTTTATTTAGCTCTCAGTAAGCAACAGACATTATTGCGTACTGCTTAGAGGAACAGAATATTAAGCTGTTGGCAACATGCTCCTGTTCAAAATTTTCTTTTCCTCTTTTTCCCTCTCTCCTGCCTTTCCTGACGTCCATTCCTTTTATTAATTACTTATCTTTGACTGTGAAATAAGGAAATTAAATGATACAAAGAATACTGTGCTATATATTACAATACATATCTTTTTTAGATATCTATGGATAACAATAAATGAGTCACCAGGTACTAGTGCAGCGTCTCCTGGCAATGCATAAAATTCCTATGCAACTATTGGAATTTCCCGCTAAATACACAACAGATTTGATAGATTTCATATGCAATATTTAATCCTAGAATTAACTATTTCATATTAGAAAAATAGAAATATTATTATTCTGCTTTGTAAAGAAACACCAAGCAGCAGTCACTGGTGTTACCACCAATTTTACATTGACAAAATAATTTCTGTATGCTTCAATTCTTGTGTCATAAAAATGGAGAAGGAGCTAAGGCCTTGGTGAGCATGTCAGTATTATTGCATATTGCTAATATGCTAATATTGCATATTAGCTCGGCACTTTCCTTTGTGCCTTGGGCTTCGGTTTCAGCCCTTTTTTGACAAGGCACCAGGTGGCTTATAAAGCAGGGAAATGCAAGTATAGGGTAAGGACTGGCTTCAGCTTGAACCTTGTCCTGACAGGCAGTATGGATTCAGCCAACTCAAACCACGTGTCATGGTAAGCTCAAGCCCTGCTTGGTTGTGGCTGACAAAATCAGTCATTAAAGCATTTCAGCAAAGTATTTGAAAGCCTTTGTAAACAGGTAATGGTATTAGAGCGGAAGCTGCTGTTCAAGCATAAGGTATTGTTACTTTCACATATGACTACACCTATCAAACAAACACCCAGTGAAGTCAGCTGTAGCAAATGTAAGTGGAAATGAAACAATGAATTGTACAACTGTTTCATTTCCTAGCCAATAAGAAGTGTAATATGTGAGTGCGTGGATCCCAGCTGGAATAAGCTTAACATTCAAAGTAAACATAGCCTTCACATTAATAAATCAGCACTATCAATTAATACTGGCTGAATCCAATTTAAAATTTTGGAGTTGTAGGTAGAAGCTCAATGAAGTATTGTTGAAGCTTGATGAAAACTATTCCACACAGGCAAAACTGGAATTAAACTCTCAGGAAGGAAGGGGTTTATTCATAGTAAATGGTACGTCCCCAATCCTCAATTAAGTTGGACAAAATGAGAATATACATATGACTCCCTTGTAAGCGCCAATCCATTTGAGAAGAACTGTTAATTACTACTATGACCTGTTTGTACCAATGAAGAAATTGAGGCTCAGAGAGGTGAAATTTAATCCATACAAAGTATCAAATAATTGGCAGAGCTAAGACAGCCTCGGCCTCCCCAGTATTTCCACTCGACCATGCAGTGTTTCTTTCCTGAGATATTTGGTTGGCTCTTTCTTTTTTCGAGCATGAGAAATTGAAGTTTGGCATTTTTTGTTTTCACATCTGTTTATCACAGTGGGATTTGAAAGATATCTGAATTTTGGCCAGACATATATAAAAAACGTACTTTTTTATTGATTGACAATAGATGTACTTTATTGTCTGATGCAATGAAAGTTAATGTTTGTTTTACTGAAGTCAGTCAGACCAGATAGTGTGCTTTAATTTATATACTTACATGTGCTCTATAAACATCAAAGAAGACACAGGCTATATTATGTTAGCAGATATGAAGACTTGCAGGAACAGATCAGTAGATCTACAGCTGGTACTGACGACCTGACATTTGCCCTGTGTGCATTGCAGGAGGGTTACTTTGAATGAATTCTCACCTTGTTTTGTGGACCGAACGTGAATCAATGCCAAGAGTGCGTTCTCTGGTTTCCTTTTATCCTAAAGGAATACAGTTTGCACCCTCTAAGACCACTCCGTGATATGAGGCAAAGCATGGTGAAAGCTAAAGTTCAGAAGATTTACTTCTGAAAAACGTACTGCTGATCTGAATTAGCATAGAGTCATTTGTAAGGAAAGCCCATCTCATTCTTTACAGCACTGGTGTTTCCTTTTTTTCACCAAGTGCTTCAGTTCTCCTTTTTCTAAATGTTGGCAGTGAAACGATATATCAAATAAATACCAAAGCCAAGTGGAAGAGCTTTCTGTGGAATCACTTTGCGTTCTTCCTCCTGGATCACATGTGCTTAATGATAATTAATGAAGTTAAAATTACATATTGTGAAAGCTTAATGATGATTTATCTAGACAATATCAAAGTCTAATGACTGAATGCACGTTTTTGTGGGATAAGTTAAGAAAGTTCTGTGTGATAAGTTTAGCTGTGGACAAGTCCCAGTCGTGGTTCACAAAAAGAACACCTTTATTTAGTTGGTACAGAGACAGACATTTAAAGACTAGGTTTGCCAGCTTTTACAACACTTCACTTACCTACCTCTTTTATTCCAATAGAAGCATCATTCCAAAAAAACCAAAAAACAAAATTGAAACAATCAACAAAATTGATGAGTCATGATTATATGCTGGATTATTTTAGCATTCTTATTCACACATTTTAGCTATGGCCCCCCCTTTCTCTGTATGTGCTAAGCCAGGGACACATTTTTACAAATATTCTTTCCCACCATCTAAAGGACACGTGAGTGCAGCTGCTTTGCTTGTGCTCTACAATAACTGAAGGAAAATGATTAACCTCGTATAGAATTACACCATCCTCTTGGAGCTCCCTTTGTTAAATGTGTACATTTGATTGAGACCCTGACTTTCCCATTCCATCCAAATTTAGACTCGGAGCCAGGCTGTGCTTTCTAATTGATGCAGGGATACCTGGTAAGCAAACTGAAATGTTTTCTAGGATACTAAAGCAGGTTTTCTGAGATGACAAGTTACACGTTATCAATCACTGGGCCTTTGGTCATAATGAAAACTATTGACTCTGAGCAAGGTTCAGGTTATAAAAAGCAATTTATCCAGTATGTGGAATAAATCCACTGTATATCATTTTGCGTATACTCTGATAAGCAAAACCCCTTTTTGGTCTGTGAGCAAGTATGGGTATGTGGCAATTGGGCATTTTTAACAGGAAATATCCTCCCCTGGTTACTCAGAACTACGGTCTGTCTTTGATATGTGGCAAATCATTGGTCAAACTTGG